AAGCACATTGCGCTGCGATATTTCTTCGTGAAGGACGAAGTGGACAAGGGCAAGGTCAACTTGACCTATTGCCCGACCGGTGACATGGCAGCAGACTTCCTCACGAAGCGACTGCCACGCCAGCAGTATCAGCACTGCTCCAAACTCAGCGGCGTGGTCAAGCAGGTCAAATCGAGCTACGGCCAGGAGTGAAGGGGGGTGTTACGAATAGTAACATTTAATTGTTACTGAGCACTCCTCACCGCAGCAAAGAGAAGCACGCAGTATCGAAGCAAGAAAGCGAACCGTCAGACGGTTGGAGTTTGACTCAAGTGTCAGACAGTTGGGGCGCATCTGGACCGTCGGAAGCAGACGGCATCGAACAGCTGCAGGCAGGATGTTTTTGGCGGGAACAGTTACGAAACTGTACGCGCCGCACGGTTGAGAATGCGTTTGAATAAGGGAATGTACCCCTTAGAGTACATGACTAGCTAGGTCGTTTCGTCTTCCCTGTACTCATATTTATACTTGCTGTATTTGCATGTTTTAATCATCTCAAGCATTTTACATTCACTCTGCTATTGAGGTCACGGGCCCACCAACTACATTTCTCTGTGTGCGAACCTTCCTGAGTAGATCCTGGCAGCGATCATTCTCTGATCGTAGCAGTTTTGTCGTCTTGGAAGCTCACATTTTGCGCGATAAAGACATGTATCACGGTGATGTTGGTGTGTTTCCCCATTCACGTGCATAGGGAGGAATCACCTTTTGCATGACGATAAATGGTTTTCCTCGTCATGGCAATACACATTCCGCGTTGGGATGAAGTATTTCACGTAACGTATGCATGGATGGAACCATATGTTACAGGTACATGGGGAAACATATCTCGTGCATGAGGATAAATAAATGCACTTTGCTGGTACGAAAGAAGTATTTGTTTGTGATGTTTGAGTGTGTCAAAACTTGTGCATGGGGAAAAACATCTCGTGCGCGAGAAAAAAAATCACATTTTCTCGTCACGAGAATGCACGTTGTGTATGACGAAGCAATCACCCGTGGTGTTTGTATATTGAGAACCGTATGTGGAAAGATGTATTGTTGTGCGAGGATTGTGTTAGTCTTAAAACGTACTAAACTAGCTACTAACGACCTTTAGGTGCACTAGAACTCTCTCTTCGGGGTCACCTCCGAAGGTCCTTGGGTGCCTGATTGAGGTCAGCCCCTATCCAAGGGTCCGAGTGTGAAGACAGAGAGTCGTAGCAACAGCTAAAGTGTAGTAGCAAGGGTCGTTTCCTTGGCGTTGTCAAGAGTATAAACTATGGCAGCGTACTTGCAGCACGCACAGGAGAGATCCTTCACTCAAGTTATATTAAAACCAAACAAGAACAAACAGTTTTATACTAAGCTAAATCATTCTACTCCTACCTTGATCTAGGTGTTTCAAATTCACACCTCGTAGCGCGAGCAAATTTTCAGGTTCCCTCCCATTCCCTTCGTGACCTGACGCACACTCGATGCGTCGCCAAAATATTTTGTCTTTCGCGCGCGAACAATATTGACGGTGCCGATCCGATAATTTCACTTCGCGCCAATATCTAACGATTGCAATGAAGTCCGTTCAAAACCTAAACGAGTCGAAATGTCGGTGGCGATCAACACTACTTTCGATCGCTCAACTGCTGCTTGCCACGTGCCCTCCTTCCGAACTTACTTTTGTTCCGAACTGTCAGTGCTGCTAAAAAAACAAGAGCAACCGAACTTACTCGAAATCTCGCTCATCTCCCCACCGGCGCTGAAAATCGACTCGCGAGCATATGACGCTCGCGTTACTGAGCACGCTAATGAACACGCTAATGAAAACACTAACGAACACGCTAACGAACACGCTAATGAACACGCTGCACGAACAAGGACCAATCTCGCTCCTCGAACAGTGGCAGCATAAGCAGCTGTTCGCTCGAACTCATGAGCAACTGCCATTTCGAACGGCAGCCAATCAGAACCTCCAAAACAGCTCGCTCAAAAACTAAAAAGTCAAACTCGCTCCTTGAACACTATCAAAATATGTTGTGTAGACTGTAGTGCCCATAAGGGGTACAACCCAATTAGGGTTTGCCATATTTGTACCTCATTCCTGCCTAGTGCACACATTCTTCCTACTAGATTTTGACATGGTTTCAGAGCAGGTCCTGTTCCAGGACCGTCTTCGTTAGGGCCCACCCGACCTTTCCTGCCCGTAGCGCTGGCCCACCCGTTGCCCTACCAGTCGGGCGGCCCGCGCACTCTGCCCTGCCCCGCGTCGCGCTGCCCGCGCCCTGCTCTGCCCACGCGCGCCCGGCCCTGCACTGCCCGCGCGCAACGCCCTGCCCTGCCCGCGCGCCCGGCCCTGCCCTGCCCGCGACAACACCCTGCCCTGCCCGCGCGCTCTGGCCCTGCCCTGCCCGCGCGCCCTGGCCCTGCCCAGCCCGCGCGCCCTGGCCCTGCCCTCCCCGAGCGCCCTGGCCCTGCCCTGCCCGCGCGGGTACGCCCTGCCCTGCCCGTCGTGCCCCCCGCGCGCGCCCTGCCTGCGTCACGCAGCCCGCGCACGCCCTGCCCTGCCCGTCGCGCTGCCTGCACGTGTCCTGCCTTGCCCGCGCACCGCCCGTGCACGCCCTGCCCCGCGTCGCGCAGCGCGCGTACGCCCTGCCCTGCCCGTCTCACCACCTGCGCGCGCCCTGCCCTGCCCGTGCGCCACCCGCGCACGCCCTTTGCCACCCGCGCGCTGCCCCTTCCTGCCCGCGCGCCGCCCTTGCAGCCCGCGCACCGCCCCTGGCAGCCTGCACGCCGCCCTTATAGCCCGCGCGCCGCCCTCTGCAGCCCGCGTGCTGCCCCTTGCATGCTCGCACGCCCTCCCCAGCCCGCACGCCCTACTTGCAGCGCGCCGCCCTACTTTGGCCGCGCGCCGCACTTCCCTGACCGTGCGCCGACCCGCCCTACTTTGGTCGCACGCCTCCTTACTTTGCCCGCTGTGACATCTCTTCGTGGTAGCGGTGGGAGCGGTGGCGGCGGTGGTGGCAGCTGTAGGAGTGGTGGCGGCGGCCGTAGTGGCAGTCGCGGTGGAGCTGTTCAGTGGAGAGTTTCTGGCGGTGGCCAGGTGCAGCTACAGTGGCGTCCGCACGAGACCCTTACGCCTCAGCAGCTTCGTGAGTGGCCTTTTCAGCGTGGGACGTCCCGGAGTAGTGCTCGCTGCCCGTACGTCATTCGCACAGGTGATCGGGCTGGTCAGACTTGCGGGACACATGGTCACACACAGGCCCGCTGCTTCTCCTACCTGAGCGACGCTTGGCGCGCAGAGTTTGGCGACGAGGCTGAGCTCCCCCGCTGGTTAGAGCTGCTTCGGCACAGTGTAGATGTAATTGCTCTAGACTATGACGCTATCCTTACTGCCATGTATGCTTTGACTGCTGGTACTAAGGGTGACTCCTACCTATGTGTGCTGCCGACCCAGGTATAGAGGCTGCTTTTCTAGGTGCTAGTGAGTTTGCTCTCTCTGGTACTGCGCTTGCTGAGGCCTTGCACACCTTCACGCTTGACTCAGGTGCTTCCCGCTATTTCTTTCGCGACAGTACCGCACTCACACCGCTCCCTAGACCGGTTGCGGTCTCCCTGGCTGACCCCTCTGGGGGTCCGGTTCTTGCACGTTCCTCCACTGTGCTCCCATGCCCGGCGGTTCCGTCCGGCTCGCTGTCAGGTCTCCACCTCCCCTCGTTCTCAACGAACCTGGTGAGTACCGCGGCTCTTCAGGATGAGTGGGTTGATACCTTTACCCCTGGAGGCCAGCGTGTGGCAATCTGCACGTGCTCCCGCACGGGCCGCCACCTGGCCACGTTCACCCGTCGGCCTGGGTCGAGTCTGTACACACTGACTACTGAGCCTCCTCAGGTTGCTGCGTCTGGTCAGGTGGCCGCGTTAGGTCAGGTAGCTCCCCCCTGCTAGTGTCGTCACCCGTCCCACCAAACTCTCCTTTGGCACCACCACCTTGGTCTTCCCAGGTCTCTTCCTTCCCTCCCACCCTCGCCTGCCCCGCCCTGCGTTCCTTGCGTCGAGGGGCGGCAGCGCGCCGCTCCTCACTCCTCCTCGTTTCCCCCGACGACTGCTCCCCTGCAGACTCTCCACATGGATGTGTGGGGCCCAGCCCGCGTCACTGGACTTGGCCGTTACACCACGGTCTTTCCCTTGTGTAGCAAAGGTGAGGTCCCCGTTGTTTTGATCCCTTGGATCCGCGCGGTACGTCTCCAGCTCCACGAGCGGTTCCGGACGGATCTTCCTGTCCTGCGTCTACACTCTGACAGAGGTGGTGAGTTCTCCTCTGACCTCTTGCGGGACTTTTGTCAGGGGGAGGGCATCCTCCAGTCGTTCACGCTTCCGGCCTCACCGCAGCAGAATGGGGTTGCTGAGCGCCGCATTGGCTTAGTCATGGAGGTGGCTCGTACCTCCATGATCCATGCAGCTGCTCCCCATTTTCTGTGGCCGTTTGCGGTTCGGTACGCTGCGCATCAGCTCAACCTCTAGCCCCGTGTCTCCTTGCCGGAGACCTCGCCCACATTGCGTTGGACGGGGGAGGTTGGCGATGCGTCGCGGTTCTGGGTCTGGGGCTCTCGTGCCTTTGTCCGTGATACCACCGCGGACAAGCTCTCCTCTCGCGCCATTCCCTGCGTCTTCCTTGGCTTTCCCCCTAACGCGCCTGGCTGGCAGTTTTACCACCCCACCTCGCGCCGTGTCTTCCCCTCTCAGGACGTCACGTTTGACGAGTCGGTTCCATTTTACCGACCCTTCCCCTACCACACTGCCCCTCTCCCCCCCCCCCCCGCCGCTCTTACTTGCTCTTGGTCCCCCTCCAGTAGACCCCCTCCCCCCTCAGGGTCCTGCTCCTTCAGGTGTCTCTCAGGTAGACCCACTTCCCTTGGCTGAGCCTGTCGAGGTCACTTTTGCCTCAGGTGCTGCCGGGGGTGGTCCTGCTCAAGGTGCTACGTCTGGGTATGCTGAGCCTGTGGGTGCGGAGCCTGGGGGTGCTGAGCCTGGGAGTGCTACGCCTGAGCCTGAGCGTGCGGAGCCTGGGAGTGCTACGCCTGAGCGTGCGGAGCCTGGGGGTGCTGAGCCTAGGAGTGCTGAGACAAGGGGTGCTGCGCCTGAGCGTTCTGAGCCTAGGGGTTTTGAGCCTGGGTGTGCTGCTTCTGAGGGTGCTGAGCCGGGTGGTTCTGCTTCTGCTGGTGGCCTTCCGGGAGCCGGAGGCACTGGAGCTGGAGGCGCTGGAGCTGGAGGTACTGGCACTTGAGGTGCTGGAGCTGGAGGTCTTGACGCTGGAGGCACTGGAGCTGGAGGCACTGGAGCTGGAGGCTCTGACGCTGGAGCTGCTGGAGCTGGAGGTGCTGGCGATAGAGACGCTGGAGCTGGAGGCCCTGTGCAGCAGCGTGAGCCCCTCTCACCACAGCAGCTGCGCGAGTGGCTCGCTCGGCGCACCCGCCTTCAGAGTCGCGCAGGAGCTGGAGGCACTGGAGCTGGAGGTGCTGGAGCTGGAGGCACTGGAGCTGGAGGCGCTGGAGTTGGAGGTGGTGGAGCTGGAGCTCCTGGCGCTGGAGGCGCTGGAGCTGGAGGTACTGGAGCTGGAGGTGCTAGAGCTGGAGGCACTGGAGCTGGAGGCGCTGGAGTTGGAGTTCCTGACGCTGGAGGTGCTGGAGCTGGAGGCACTGGAGCTGGAGGCACTGGAGCTGGAGGCGCTGGAGCTGGAGGCGCTGGAGCTGGAGGCACTGGCGCTGGAGCTACTGAAGATGGAGACACTGGAGCTGGAGGCACTGGCGCTGGAGGTACTGGAGCTGGAGGTGCTGGAGCTGGAGGCGCTGGAGCTAGAGGCACTGGCGCTAGAGCTACTGGAGCTGAAGCTGCTGGCGCTGGAGGCGCTGGAGCTGGAGGCCCTGTGCAGCAGCGACCGTTTTTCTTGCCGCCGCCGCAGCTGTCCGAGCTTCCGCCCGAGTCGGTGCTCCGTCAGGTTCTTAGTCTTCCTTCGTCCACTGCCCTTCCTCAAGACTCACTGCTGCCTACCCCGTCCCGTTACACTCAGCAGCCGGCCTCCCTTACAGAGTGTCGTCAGCGTGTGTCCTGTCCTGCCTCCCCTGTTCGCCGTGCTCGTCGTGTCCCGCGTCCGCGTCCTCCTCCTGTGCCAGGTACTCACACTATGGCACTTATTCCTTCCTCTGTTCCACAGACGTCTGCCGTCTCCTCCTGCGTCCTCTCTGCCTGACGTTCCGGACCCTGAGTCTAACCGTGTTCGTGCTGCCAACCCTACTGACACCCGTCTCCTGGCTACTGTTGTCACTGATCCGTCGTTTGAGTTTACTGCTGCGTCTGCGTCGTTTGAGTGGGTTTCTCCTCCTTAACCATTGTGGTGGTTGGCCACAATGGTTGAAGTTTCTAGATGTTGTGCGCTGCACATGAGCAACGGGCGAACATCAAACGTGTTTGCCCGAACGTCCCCGAATAGTATAAGGGCGTGAAACATCTGGAAAGTTTTACAATCGAACGGTTCGGTCCGGAAAATTACTGCTCTAAAACGTACTATACCCTACTGCAGCATAGCCTGTACCAAATAGACCATTTTGAACCGTTTTGACCGTACGGTTTGTTTGGGAATTTTAAAAAATGTTCCACGTCCTAATTGGCGAACCGAACATGTTCAGTTTGCCCTCTGCCGTCTCCTCCTGCGTCCTCTCTGCCTGTCGTTCCGGACCCTGAGTCTGACCGTGTTCGTGCTGCCAGCCCTACTGTCACCCGTCTCCTGGCTACTGTTGTCACTGACCCGTCGTTTGAGTTTACTGCTGCGTCTGCGTCGTTTGAGTGGGTTTTTCCTCGTTAACCATTGTGGTGGTTGGCCACAATGGTTGAAGTTTCTAGATGTTGTGCGCCGCACATGAGCAACAGGCGAACATCAAACGTGTTTGCCCCTTACGGCCCCTCGTGCATCCCCTTACGGCCCCTCGCGCCGCCCTTCGCGGCCCCTCGCGGCCTCTTCACGGCCCGTCGCCGCCCTCCGCGGCCCCTCGCGCCGCCCTTCACGGCCCGTCGCCGCCCTCCGCGGCCCCTCGCGCCGCCCTTCACGGCCCCTCCGCCGCCCTTCGCGGCCTCTCACGGCCCTGTCGCCGCCCTTCGCGGCCCGCCGTCGCCGCCCCTGCAGCAGCAGCAGCCGCAGTCCCTACAGCAGCAGCCGCCGCCGTCCCTGCAGCAGCAGCCGCCGCTGTCCCCGCAGCAGCAGCCGCCGCCGTCCCTGCAGCAGCAGCCGCCGCCGTCCCTGCAGCGGAAGCCGCAGCTGCAGCAGCCGTTACCAGCAGCAGCCGCCGCCACCTCCCTCGGGGCCGCGCCCGCCGCCGCCGCTGACTGCAGCCGCCCCTGCAGCTGCCGCCCCTGGTTACTGGAGCAGCTGACCCTGCAGCAGCCGCCCCTGGACTTCTGCAGCCGCCCCTGGCCCCTGGAGCAGCCGCCCCTGCAGCAGCCGCCCCTGGTCCCTGGAGCAGCCGCCCCTGCAGCAACCGCCCTTGCAGCAGCCGCCCCTGGACTTCTGCAGCCGCCCCTGGCCCCTGGAGCAGCCGCCCCTGCAGCAGCCGCCCCTGGCCCCTGGAGCAATCGCCCCTGCAGCTGCCGCCCCTGGTCACTGGAGCAGCTGCCCCTGTAGCAGCCGCCCCTGGACTTCTGCAGCCGCCCCTGGCCCCTGGAGCAGCCGCCCCTGCAGCAGCCGCCCCTGGCCCCTGGAGCAGCCGCCCCTGCAGCAGCCGCCCTTGCAGCAGCCGCCCCTGGACCTCTGCAGCCGCCCCTGGCCCCTGGAGCAGCCGCCCCTGCAGCAGCCGCCCCTGGCCCCTGGAGCAGCCGCCCCTGGAGCAGCCGCCCCTGCAGCTGCCGCGGAGCCCTCGCCCTACAGTGGTGCCGGCCTCGCCGTTGCCGCCGTCGTACGCCTGCCCTTCTTGCCACTGGTGAGCACTGTCCTGCCCGTACTGCTGTTACTGCTGCTCCTGCTGCTACTGCTCTTTCTACTGCTACTGCTGCTCCTGGCGTGGCCAGATGCAGCTCCAGCGCCGTCCGCGTGAGTCCCTCACGCCCCAGCAGCTTCGTGAGTGGTACGCTCGTTGGGGCTGTCGAGGTAGCCGTAGTGGGAGTCGTCCTGGCGTGAGTGGTTCGAGGGCTTCTTGTAGTGGCCGGATGCAGCTGCAGCGTCGTCCGCGCGAGACCCCTTCGCCCCTGCAGCTTCGCGAGTGGTACACTCAGAGTAGAGGGTCACTGAGTACTGCTCGCTGCCCGTACGTCGTTCGCACAGATATCCGGACTGGTCAGCCTTGCGGGACATCTGGTCACACAGAGTCCCGCTGCTTCGCCCGTCTGAGCGACGCTTGGCGTACAGAGTTTGGCGACGACGCTGAGCTCCCCGACTGGGTGGAGCTGCTTAGGCAGAGGGTAGATATCTTTGCTCTTGACTATGATGCTATCCTCACTGCCATGTATGCATTGTCTACTAGTGCTGAGGGTGCCTGTCACCTGTGTGTGCCACCTGACCCCGGTATCCAGTGTGCTGCTCTAGGTGCTGGTGAGGCTGCTGCTCTAGGTGCTGTTGCGTCCCCTACTCCAGGTGCCGGTGAGGCTGCTGCCCTAGGTGCTCGTGCGTCTACTGCTCCAGGTGCTGGTGAGTCTGCTCTCTCTGGTGCTGCGCCTGCTGCGGTCTTGCACACCTTCACCCTTGACTCGGGTGCTTCCCGCTCCTTCTTTCGAGACTGCACCACGCTCACGCCGCTTAGTCGGCCAGTGGCGGTCTCCCTGGCAGACCCCTCTGGGGGCCCTGTCCTTGCCCGCTTCTCCACTGTCCTACCGTGTCCGGCGGCCCCTTCTGGCACCCTGTCAGGTCTTTACCTCCCCTCGTTCTCTACGAACTTGGTGAGTGGTGCTGACCTCCAGGATGCAGGGGTTCACCAGTTCACTCCTGCGAGTCAGCGAGTGACCCACTGTACCTGTGCTCGGTCGGGCCGTCACTTGGCCACGTTTACCCGTCAGCCGGGGTCGAGCCTGTACACACTGACTACTGAGTCTCCTCCAGTCGCTGAGTCTGCTCAGGTAGCAGCGTCGGGTCAGGTGTTTGCTGCGGCGTCCAGGTCTGGCCCTGAGTCTGCCCCCTGCTCGTGTCGTCTCCTGTCCCACCGGACTCTCCTCTGGCACCACCGCCTTGGTCACCCCTCCCTGCCTCGTCTTCGAGGCATGGCTTCCCGTCTTCTTGTCTCTGGCCTCCCCCGGTCCCTCCCTCCCCTTCCTCCGGGGCCTGCCCCCACCTGCGTTCCCTGCGTCGAGGGGCGGCAGCGCGCTGCTCCTCACTCCTCCGAGTTTCCTCCGACAGAGGCTCCGCTGCAGACGCTTCACATGGACGTGTGGGGCCCAGCCCGCGTCCGTGGGCAGGGTCACGAGCGTTACTTCCTGTTGGTGGTTGACGACTACTCGCGTTACACCACAGTCTTCCCCTTGCGCAGCAAGGGTGACGTCACTGAGGTGTTGATCATCTGGATCCGCGCAGCTCGTCTCCAGCTCAGGGAGAGTTTCGGCTCGGACTTTCCTGTTCTGCGTCTGCACTCCGACAGAGGCGGAGAGTTCTCCTCTGACCTTCTGCGGGCCTTCTGTCATGCACGAGGCATCCGCCAGACCTTCACGCTTCCGGACTCTCCACAGCAGAATGGGATTGCTGAGCGCCGCATTGGCATGATCATGGACGTCGCTCGTACGTCCATGGTCCATGCGGCTGCCCCCCATTTTCTGTGGCCGTTTGCGGTTCGGTACGCGGCGCATCAGATCAACCTTCACCCCCGGGTCTCCATGCCGGAGACCTCCCCTGCTTTACTGTGGACGGGGAACGTTGGCAATGCGTCTGCGTTCCGTGTCTGGGGATCTAGGGCGTTTGTCCGCGACTTGTCTGCGGACAAGCTGTCCTCTCGTGCTGTTCCCAGCGTATTCCTTGGCTTCCCTCCTGACGCGCCAGGCTGGCAGTTCTACCACCCCACCTCGCGCCGTGTTCTGTCCTCCCAGGACGTCACCTTTGACGAGTCGGTTCCCTACTACCGTCTCTTCCCCTACCGCACTGCGTCCCTCCCTCCCCCGCCCCTCTTCCTTACGCCAGGTCTCCCTCCGGTAGACGCCCTCCCCCCTCAGGGTCCTGCCCCCTCAGGTGTGTCCCAGGTAGATGCGGTCGAGCCTGTCGAGGTAGCTGTTGACTCTGGTGCTGCTGGGGGTGCTGAGCCTGGGGGTGCTGGGTCTGGGGGTGCTGCGACTGGGGGTGCTGAGCTTGGGGGTGCTGAGCCTGGGGGTGCTGAGCCTGGGGGTGCTGAGCCTGGAGGTGCTGCGCCTGGGGGTGCTGAGCCTGGGGGTGTTACGCCTGGGGGTGCTGAGCCTGGGGGTGCTGCGTCTCGGAGTGCGGAGCCTGAGGGTGCTGGGCCTGCTCGTGTGGCGTCTGGTGGTGCTGGGCCTGGAGGTTCTTCGGGTGCTTCGTCCCGGCGGGAGCTACTCTCTCCACAGGAGCTGCGTGAGTGGTTTGCCCGGCGCTGGAGGCGTGCTGCTGGAGCTGGCGGTGCTACGGACGCTGGAGGTTCTGCTGCTGCTGAGGGTGCTGGTGCAGCGGGTCCCGGAGGTGCTCGTACAGGGTGTACTGGAGCTGCTGGGCCTACGGGTGCTCCTGGTGCTGGAGCTGGTGGTGCTACTGGTGCTACTGGCGTTGGTGCTGCTGGTGCTCCTGGAGCTGGAGCTGCTGCGTCTTCGGGTGGTCTGACTGGAGCTAGCGCTATAACTGGGGGTGTTGGCACTGGAGGTGCTACTGGCGCTGGTGCTTCTGGGGGTGCTGGAGTTGGCGCTGCTGGAGCTGGGGGTACTCCTGGTGCTGGTGCTGCCGTTGGGGGTGCTGGTGCTGTTCCTGCTGGTACTGGTGGCGCTGCGCGGCCACGGCCGTACTTCGTTCCGCTCCTTGAGCAGGTTCTTGGTCTTCCGTCCTCTCTTGGTCCTGCTCCTGGCTTAGAGTGTCCGCCTCCTGTCCAGTCTGAGTCACAGTTACAGCCAGCCTCCCCGCTTCCTTCTCCTTCTCCCTACACTGGTCCTACTGGAGGTCTTGCTGAGCGTCGTGAGCCTGCGTCTCGCCCTGCGTCGCCTGTCCGTGCTGCTCGCACTAGTGGTCGTGGTTCGCGTCAGCGTCCTCCCCCTGTCCCCGGCACGCATCGGATATCTCTGCGTCCTTCCACTGCTCCACTGCGTGCCCCTTTGCCTTCTCCTCCCGAGTCCTCTCTTCCTGCACTCCCTGACCCGGAGTCGGACTCCCTTCGTGCTGCGCGTCCTACTGTCACGCGTCTCCTTGCTACTGTCGTCACTGACCCTTCCTTTGAGTCTACTGCTGCGTCTGCCCTAGTTGCTGAGCTTGTCGACTTCGCTGCTCGCTGTCGCCTAGACTACGCTGCCAGTCTCGTCGCTGAGTCTGAGTCTGTCCGTCCTCCGTCCGTCGGGGGTGAGTGTGCTCTTGGTACGGACGTCCTTGAGGACAGGCAAGAGGAGTTCCAGTGCTTGGCTGCTGCTTCACCTCATCTCGTGTCCATGCTGCTTGCCCCTGAGGGAGACCCGGATGCACTTGACATCCCGACTCCGCGCTCTTACGCGGAGGCGATAGAGGGTCCCTACTCCTCTCAGTGGCAGGCAGCCATGGACGCAGAGATGGCTTCCTGGAAGTCCACAGGCACCTACGTTGACGAGGTTCCCCCGCCTGGGGCGAACATCGTCAGTGGCATGTGGATTTTCAGGGTGAAGCGGCCGCCGGGTTCTCCGCCTGTCTTCAAGGCGCGTTACGTGGCTCGTGGCTTCAGTCAGCGGCAGGGAGTTGACTACTTTCAGACCTTCTCTCCCACCCCGAAGATGACCACTCTTCGGGTACTGCTGCACATAGCCGCTCACCGAGACTACGAGCTGCACTCTCTTGACTTCAGCACTGCTTTCTTGCAGGGCAGCCTGCACGAGGAGATCTGGCTGCGCCGCCCACCTGGCTTCACTAGGACTTTTCCTCCTGGCACCCAGTGGAGCCTCCGGCGGCCAGTCTACGGTCTCCGCCAGGCGCCTCGTGAGTGGCACGACACACTGAGGACTACACTTGCGGCTCTTGGGTTTGCTCCTTCTACTGCCGACCCGTCGCTGTTTCTACGCACCGACACTTCTTTGCCGCCGTTCTACATCCTCGTGTACGTCGACGACTTGGTCTTTGCTACAGCTGACACTGCTGGACTCGCCTACGTGAAGTCCGAGCTGCAGAAGAGACACACGTGCACAGACCTGGGTGAACTGCGCAGCTACCTTGGCTTGCAGATCACCCGGGACAGAGCACAGTGCACCATTACCCTGACTCAGTCACACATGGTGCAGCAGGTCCTTCAGCGCTTCGGCTTCACGTACTCCTCGCCTCAGGCCACTCCTCTGTCTACACGCCACTCGCTCTCAGCTCTGCCTTCGGATGAGTCCGTAGAGTCGAGTGGCCCGTACCCAGAGCTTGTTGGCTGCCTCATGTACCTGATGACCTGCATTCGACCTGACCTTGCATACCCTCTTAGCATTCTGGCACGCTATGTTGCTCCTGGGAGACACAGACCAGAGCACATGGCTGCAGCGAAGAGGGTGTTGCGCTACTTGTGCAGTACGTCGGGCATGGGGCTTGTGCTTGGAGGGCAGAGTCCAGTGGTCCTCACTGGTCACGCAGACGCTTCTTGGGCTGACGACCAGGCTACGCAGCGGTCGTCACAGGGTTACACCTTCAGCCTTGGTTCCGGCTCTGTTTCTTGGAGGTCTACCCGCTCGTCTTCTGTTCTCGGCTCCAGTTGTGAGGCTGAGATCTACGCAGGGGCCATGGCTGCACAGGAGCTACGCTGGCTCACCTACCTGCTGACTGACCTGGGAGAGCCGCCTCGTTCTCCTCCAGTGCTGTACGTAGACAACAAGGCCATGCTGGCCTTGTGTCGGGAGCACAGACTGGAGCACAGAACGAAGCACATCGCTCTTCGCTACTTCCTTGCTCGTGAGCTGCAGCAGCGTGGTCAGCTGCGCCTTGCGTACGTGGCCTCTCAGGCCAACACTGCTGATATCTTCACTAAGGCACTCGCGCCTTGTGATCATCAGCGCTTCTGTACTCTGTTAGGTCTTGTGCCTACCTTGTCTCACTTGCTCACTTCTTGACCTTGCTTGTACTGTTACATATATATATATATACCTGCTCTTGCTTGTTTAGCGTTATATATATGTAATCTTGCATGTGAACTGGCCTTGTGGCCTTGAACTTGTGCTCAGAATGTGTGGTGACATTGAGATCCACCCTGAGCTTGCTTTGCTTTGCTTGACTGGTCTTATGACCCCTTGTTCTCCCCCACTTTGCCTATGGGGGTGTGTCAAACATTATATATGTTGTAGCTTTGTAGGCTACAGTGGGTTTAGCCTTAGGGGGTACACAATTCTAGGGTTGCATATTTGTACTCCCATTCTTGCTAGTCACACCATTCCTCGTTTCTTCACACGAACGTCCTCGAATAGTATAAGGGCGTGAAACATCTGGAAATTTTTACAATCGAACGGTTCGGTCCGGAAAATTACTGCTTTAAAAGGTACTATACCCTACTGCAGCATAGCCTGTACCGAATAGACCATTTTGAACTGTTTTGACCGTACGGTTTGTTTGGGAATTTTAAAAAATGTTCCACGTCCTAATTGGCGAACCGAACATGTTCAGTTTGCCCGAACATTATTTTCACATTTTGCATGTTCGGTGTTTGGTTAGTGTGGGCGAGCATGTTTAATGTTCACCGAACCTCTACATGTTCGGCCAATTCCGAACATGTTTGATGTTCGAAAATAAGGACTTAGCAGATTCTCCGACTTAACAGATTTCACCACTCCTGTTTCATGACTTGAAGTACAACAACACTTGGCTATACATTTTTAGGGGGGTGGGGAACACGGGGGAAGAGGGCAGGGCGAGTGGGAAGAACGTAAGAACGCAACTAACGACTAATTAACCTAAGTTCCTAAAGTAACCGTTAAGTTGGGTGGAAATGGGCTGGAAATGAGCCTACTACTTCTTACTGCTGTGAAATTAACCTAAAAAGGTAGATCGAGATCGAAATGACCTCGATCTATGCTTTCCTCGACATTTGTCGCGCTGGTTTTTTCCGAACATCTAATGTTCGGAAAAGCGGGGACAGTTCCCGAACAAGTTTGGTGTTCGGGGATTGTCCCCATAAACTTTTCGAACACCTAATATGTTCAGTGTCAAGAATAACTGACTGGAATGACTGAACTAACAGGGAAGGCAGTACAAATACAAACCCTAGAATAGTGTACCCCATATAGTCTAGCCCACTGTAGCCTAACAACAACCAACATATATAATGTTTGACACACCCCCATAGGCAAAGTGGGGGAGATCTAGGGGTCACAAGACCAGTCAAGGTAAAGCAAGGCAACAACAAGCTCAGGGTGGATCTCGAGGATTCCACACAAATTCCGAGCACAAGCTAGTGGTCACAAGACCAGTTCACATGCAGGTTTATAACAGAGCAAGAGATACAGTGATCACAACCTAGCAAGAGTAAACATGCAGGTATATATATATATATAGTGATCACAGTACAAGCAAAGTCACGAGGTAAGCAAGTGAGGTCCAGTAGGCACAAGGCCTAGCAGAGTGCAGAAGCGCTGATGGTCACGAGGCTGAAGCGCCTTGGTGAACACATCAGCAGTGTTGGCCTCAGTGGCCACGTAGCGAATACAAAGCTGACCACGCTGCTGCAACTCTCGAGCAAGGAAGTACCGCAGGGCGATGTGCTTCGTTCTGTGCTCCAGTCTGTGCTCCTCACACAAGGCAATAGCAGCCTTGTTGTCGACGTACAGCACTGGAGGAGAACGAGGCCGCTCTCCGAGGTCGGTCAGCAGGTAGGTCAGCCAGCGTAGCTCCTGAGCAGCCATGGCTGTGGCGTAGATCTCAGCCTCACAACTGGAGCCGAGAACAGAAGAAGAGCGAGTAGAGCGCCAAGAAACTGAGCCAGAGCCAAGGCTGAAGGTGTAGCCCTGAGACGACCGCTGAGTGGCCTGGTCGTCTGCCCAAGAAGCGTCTGAGTGCCCTGTGAGAACAACTCGGTCTCGCCCTCCAAGCACAAGCCCCATGCCCGACGTACTGCACAAGTAGCGCAACACCCTCTTAGCGGCATCCATGTGCTCCTTCCTGTGACGGCCAGGAGCGACATAGCGTGCAAGGATGCTAAGAGGATATGCAAGGTCAGGTCGAGTGCAGGTCATCAGGTATATGAGGCAGCCCACAAGCTTTGGATACGGGCCACTCGGCTCTACGGACTCATCCGAAGGCAGAGCTGAGAGCGAGTGACCGGTAGGCAGAGGAGTGGACTGAGGCGAGGAGTACGTGAAGCGGAAGCGCTGGAGAACCTGCTGCACCATGTGTGACTGAGTCAGGGTGATGGTGCGCCGTGCTCTGTCCCGGGTGATCCGCAAGCCAAGATAGCTTGTCAGCTCACCCAGGTCTGTGCACGTGTGTCTCCTCTGCAGCTCCGACTTCACGTGGGCGAGTGCCGCGGTGTCAGCAGTGGCAAAGACCAAGTCGTCGACGTACACGAGGATGTAGAACGGCGGCAGCGAGGTGTCGGTGCGTAGAAACAGCGACGGGTCAGCAGTAGAGGGAGCGAACCCAAGAGCCGCAAGTGTCGTCCTCAGTGTGTCGTGCCACTCACGTGGCGCCTGGCGGAGACCGTAGACCGGCCGCTGAAGCCTCCACTGGGTGCCAGGAGGAACTGACCCAGTGAAGCCAGGGGGGCGGCGCAGCCAGATCTCCTCGTGCAGGCTGCCCTGCAAGAAAGCAGTGCTGAAGTCAAGAGAGTGAAGCTCGTAGTCGCGGTGAGCGGCTATGTGCAGCAGCACCCGAAGAGTAGTCATCTTCGGGGTGGGGGAGAAGGTCTGGAAGAAGTCAACTCCCTCTCGCTGACTGAAGCCTCGAGCCACGTAACGCGCCTTGAAGACAGGCGGAGAACCCGGCGGCCGCTTCACCCTGAAAATCCACATGCCACTGACGATGTTCGCCCTAGGAGGGGGAACCTCGTCGACGTAGGTGCGTGTGGACTTCCAGGAAGCCATCTCGGCGTCCATGGCTGTCTGCCACTGAGAGGAGTAGGGACCCGCCATCGCCTCAGCGTAAGTGCGCGGGGTCGGGATGTCTGGTGCATCCGGGTCTCCCTTAGGGGCAACTAGCAAGGACACGAGACGGGGCAAAGCAGCAGCAAGACACTGGAACTCCTCCTGTCTGTCCTCAAGGACGTCCGTGCCAAGAGCACACTCACCCCCGACGGACGGAGGACAGACAGACTCAGACTCAGACTCAGCAACAAGGCTAGCAGTGTAGTCTAGACGACAGGCAGCAGCAAAGTCAACCAACTCAGCGACCAGAGCAGACGCAGTCGAGGACTCAAAGGTAGGGTCAGTGACAACAGTAGCAAGGAGACGCGTGACAGTAGGGTGCTCAGCACGATACCGGTCAGACGCAGGGTCCGGAACGTCAGGCAAAGAGGACGCAGGAGGAGACGGTAGCGGGACACGCTGAGGAGCAGTGGAGGGACGCAGAGTCATGTAGTGAGTGCCAGGGACAGGAGGAGGACGCTCACGACGGACATGACTACCAGTGCGAGTAGGACGAACAGGCGACGCAGGACGAGACTCAGGCTCACGACGCTCTGTAAGACCTCCTGTGGGACCAGTGTAAGGAGAGGGAGCAGGGAGAGACGAGGTAGGCGGTAACTGTGACTGCGGCTGGACAGGCGGGGGACACTCTACGGAGGGAGGAGGACAAGGAGGAGGAGCCTGCCCAAGAACCTGCTGAAGGAGCGGTACGAAGTACGGCCGCGGCCGCGCAGCGCCTCCAGAAGCAGAAGAGACTCCAGCGGCCGGGTCCTCAGTACCAGCAGTAGCTCCAGCGTCCGGGTCCACAGCACCAGCAGCAGCTCCACCGTCCGGGTCCGCAGCACCAGCAGCAGCTCCACCACTCGGGTCCTCAGCACCAGCAGCAGCGCCACCGCTCGGGTCCTCCGCACCAGTAGCAGCTCCAACGCCCGGGTCCTCAGCACCAGTAGCAGCTCCAACGCCCGGGTCCTCAGTAGCAGCAGCAGCGCCACCGCTCGGGTCCTCAGCTCCAGCAGCAGCTCCAACGTCCGAGTCCTCTGTACCAGCAGCAGCGCCACCCCCAGGGTCCGCAGCACCAGGAGCACCACTCCGAAGACTGCAGCGCCGTGTGTACCACTCGCGGATCTGCTGAATGGGGGGGAGCTCCTGGGTAGGAGGGGAAGTACTGGGACGAGCTCCAGCAGTACCTCTCCGGAGGCGGCAGTACTCGAGGTACCTCTCCTGCAGCTGCTGGGAGGAGAGGGCTCCTCCAGGTGTCGCACGCTCAGGCTCAGCACCCCCAGACTCAGCACCCCCAGACTCAGCACCCCCAGGCTCCGCACCTCCAGGCTCAGCACCCCCAGGCTCCGCACCCTCAGACTCAGCACTCCCAGGCTCAGCACCCCCAGACGCAGCACCCCCAGGCTCAGCACCCCCAGACGCAGCACCCCCAGGCTCAGCACCCCTAGCAGGACGAGAGTCGACAGCTACCTCGACAGGCTCACCCGGGTCTACCTGGGACACACCTGAGGGAGCGGCACCCTGAGGGGGGAGGGGGTCTGGTACCTCAGCACCTGGAGCGAGGAAGAGAGGCGGGGGGGGAGCGGGGCAGTGCGGTAGGGGAAGAGGCGGTAGTAGGGGACGGACTCGTCAAAAGAGACGTCCTGAGAGGCCAGGACACGACGCGAGGTGGGGTGGTAGAACTGCCAGCCAGGGGCGTCCGGGACAAAGCCAAGGAAGACGCAGGGGACAGCGCGACGGGAGAGCTTGTCCGCGGACGTATCGCGGACAAAAGCTCGGGATCCCCAGACCCGAAAACGCGACGCATCGCCAGCCTCTCCCGTCCAACGCAGTGTCGGAGAAGTCTCGGGCAAGGAGACACGGGGCCAGAGGTTGAGCTGATGCGCAGCGTATCGGACTGCAAACGGCCACAGAAAATGGGGGGCAGCCGCATGGCTCAAGGAGGTACGAGCGACCTCCATGACCAGACCAATGCGGCGCTCAGCAACCCCATTCTGCTGTGG